CCTGCCCGATTTTTCCATATCCATGCGAAAAAAATACGTTAGAGAGCATCGGTTGGCCAGAAAATCACAAAAAAAACTGAACTACTAGCGAGAAGGTCTTTGGGTGCAGCAACTCCGCCGGTTCTTCTTCAGCTAACCTGTACAGAAAGGGATGGTGAATACAATGATCAAAAAATTATATGAAACAGAAAACAAAAAGGGGCTCATCGAAGGAGTTTTAGGGTTTCAGTAACAGCGGTTCTACCGGACTTTACTTGCGGTTTCAGCTCACCTGTCGTCCATTTTACTTCGATATGGTCACAGGGAGACTCAAAATCGAATTTTGAGCAGGTATGAGAGAATTTTACCTTTTTTTGGCAGTCGACGGTGGCTCTAGTGCGGCGATGACCGAGTGTCGATCTCCTTCTCCGGTAGCTGGTCTTTCTTCTCTAGCGAAGGCGGTGCGGCTAGGGTTAGGGTTCCCCTACGACGCGATGTTTATATATTTATCTCGTGTCGATCTAGGTCATCCATTTACATCGACGTAGAGCGAGGAGAGTTGTCCAATCGTTGCCTGTTTAAATTGTTACGTGAGCGAATTTAGATTGTTCATCACGATTGATCTCGTCCGTCCGATCACGCCTAAGGAGGGAATAGATCTGAACCCTTCACGCGCGCAAGATTGAATCTAGACCATCAGATTGCTGGGTACGCGGATCACCCGAGTGGCCTCCTGTGTGGCGCTAATGTCAGTGTGTTTTGCCACGCGACGTACTTTGGTTCGCCATGGGTGCTGACTGGGTCATCCCACGCGGTCGAATTTTTTTGCATTTTAACCATCTGTTTCTAATTTTTCTTTCAAAAACACTTATCAAACTCAAAATTTCATATCTCTTCTCCAAAATTATTTTCAATTTCGTCCATAACCCATTTTTTTCAAATAAGTTAATAAAATTAAATTAAAATAATATTTTTAATTATTTTTATAAATACAAAAATTAATATCGAACTAAATTCTGAGCTCGGATATTACATTTTATTTTCATAGTGATTTGGCAGCTTACAAATCATCCACATGACAATTCGATAACAGCACAACTAAGATATATCTGTGACTTGCGTGAGCGATGACGTAACATCTTTTGTTTTTTATCACGAGTCTGCAATTAACTCAACTCAAGTGATATAATTAATTAATTTACTTTAAATAAATTTAATATTAAATATGTATTTGTACTGATTTTTATACATTGTATAATAATATTTAGTATTTGATGCATTTATTTATATATAATGTATATTGTATAATATATTAATTATACATGTATGTATAGTGTATATATTAAAACGTGAGGATGTCATTTGGAGAATTAAGATTTAGGAGATGAAACAAGTTGGCAAAGTTCTTTCTAGTCTATTTACAAGTCAACTTCAATTTGAATTATAGAATTGATAATTCAAGTTTTGAGTGCCATCGCATCCCTTACATAAAAAAAAATATATATATGTATATTATTAACATAAATATTATTATAATAGAAAATAGATACGTATACAATATTTTATTTTAATAATAAAATCATTGTTAAGGGAATGCAGAACATGATTTGCCAAAAACCTTATCCACGTTCAAGCCATTCATACAGACCTTTTATCGAACATCTTGTCTGCATCACAGTCGCAGATGAGACCTACCGTGTAAAGCACAGCTGCACTCTACTCCTCTCTAACCCTAATCTTTCTCCTTCCAATTATCCGGCTCCTTATCACAATTTTCAGGTTTCAGATCCAACCAAAAGCTTCCTCCAAGGCTACCGTGGCTTCCCTTCGTCGGCCATCTCCACCTCCTGAAGCCACCCATCCACCGCACCTTCCATAAACTCTCTCAAACCTACGGCCCCATCTTCTCCCTCCGCTTCGGCTCTCGCTCGTCTTTATAGTCTCCTCGCCGTCAATCGCGGAGGAGTGTTTCACTACGAACGACGTCGTTCTCGCCAACCGCCCACGTTTGCTCGTCGGCAAGCATATTAGTTACTACTACACCACCATGGTGTAGTCAGTTCTGGTTCAGGCTCATTTATGGGCCAAGTTTTGCTCTGGGATCAACTTTAGTTATAACTTAATTCCTGCACTCGTCTGTATATATCTGGCTAAATATTAAATTGGTAATTGTATTGTTTCTAAATATTATAATTAGTATTTATATTATTTTTTGTTAGTTTATTTTTTTTAAAAAAATATTTATATTATTTTTTACCCGGTAAATGCTATTAATATTGTTAACAAATTTACTACTAGACATCAAGTTATACATGTAATTATTTTGAATTAATTATAAGTGATATATGAACATTAATTATAAGTGATATGCATTTATTAATAAGTAATATATGAATATTATAAGTGATACGCATTTATTAATAAGTGATATATGAACATAAATCATAAGTGATACGCATTTATTAATAAGTGATATATGAACACAAATCATAAGTGATACGCATTTATTAATAAGTGATATATGAACATAAATCATATATGATATACTTTTGTTAATAAGTGATATATGAAGATAAATCATAAATGATATACATTTATTAATAAGTGATACATAAACATAAATCATAAATGATACGCATTTATTAGTAAGTGATATATGAACATAAATCATAAATTATATGTATTTATTAATAAGTGATATATGAAAATAAATCATATGTGATATACTTTATTTATTAATAAATGATATATTAACATTAATTATAACATAATATTAATTATAAGTGATATATATTTATTAATAATAAATTATATATGAAAATTAATCCTACCAGAAGTGGAAATAAATCAAAGCTGTGGAAAAAAGTTGCACTTATTAGAAAATTCAAAGCTTTTAGAATTTTGTTCTTAGAAAAAATAAAAAAATTAACAAGCAAAGAAATGGTATAAGAAGCTTATGGATCCACCAAACATCATTCAGAAATAAAGAGAGAAAGACACAGAGAGAGAGAGAGATAATATAATCAACTGAGGGACCCAAACATGGAAGACTCAACTGTTCTTTACACCTCCCTCACTCTTATCTTCATCTTCTTCCTCCGCAAACTCCTGCAATTTTCAAATTCCAGAACCAATCAAAAGCTTCCTCCAAGTCCACATGGTCGCCTTCCCCTTATCGGCCATCTCCACCTCTTAAAGCACCCGACTCACCGCACTCTATATGATCTCTCCCTAAAGTACGGTCCAATCCTGTCTCTCCGTTTCGGCTCCCACCTTGTCTTCGTCGTCTCTTCGCCGTCTATCGCCGAGGAATGTTTCACTACGAACGACGTCGTTCTGGCCAATCGCCCCCGCCATCTCAGCGGCAAGTACATAGATTACGACAACACCACAATGGTCGCGGCCCCTTACGGCAGCCACTGGCGCAATTTGCGCAAAATCGGCTCGATTGAGATCTTCTCCACTCACCGCATCAACATGTTTTCGTCGATCCGCAAAGACGAGCTCAAGCGGCTCCTCTGCCGACTCGGCCGTGACTCGCGCGAGGGTTTTACGAAGGTGGAGCTGAAATCTCTGTTCACGAACCTGACGCTGAACAATATGATGAGAATGGTTGCAGGGAAGAGGTACTGCGATGATGGTACGAACAATGAGGAAGAAGCGATCGAGTTCAAGGAAATTGCGGCGGGAATTTTTAAGCTTAGCGGTGCATCGAATGTGGGTGATTTCTTGCCAATACTGAACTGGTTTGGGCATAGTTTTGAGAAAAAGTTGAAGGAGATGGGAGAAAGAATGGATAGATTTTTGCAGCGTTTGATCGATGAGAGAAGAAATAATGGAGGGAGAAACACCGTGGTTGATCACTTGCTGACTCTGCAACAATCAGAACCTGAATACTACACTGATAAAGTAATCAAAGGGCTCATCTTGGTTAGTCAATTTACTTTCATCTCCTTTCTAGCTAACATATCTTTCTGGTTTATCTCTTTGGATAATTTTATTAGCGGCCGGGTAAGTTTATTATATGTGTGTCTATATTTATATATGTGTTTTTTGAGTGAATATATGTGTATATGCATATATATATATATATGTACACACATCGTAGAAAGGAGGCAGTTAAAAATTGGATGTAGGTTGATTAAGAACAAGGGTATGGAAAGTTACAGCCGTATAGGGATGCTGAGAGAATCCCCTTTTTTCTAATTTTTTAGTTAAGTATAATGTTTATATTTTATATAAACAATAATATGCTGGAATAAATAGTAAAAATATTATTTATATACATAAAGATATATAATTTAAATCTTATAGAAAATTATTATACAGTTGTCAAGTTTGGAGTATATTAATATACTAAAAGAATGCGTTATAGAGAAATAATTTTCTAGGAATAGTTAAGAAAATTCTAAAAATGCTTGAAAACAATTTGCTTTTATTGAAATAGTGATACTTGTTATGAATTAAAAGAGGTATATTTATGTACTATATATGAAATAATGATGCCATGAAGAATTAGTTGTATTTAATCAACTTCTTAAGTTTTTTATTTCGTATTTTATTTTAATTTTTTTTATCACTTTTCAAGTCATTTTTTCTTTGTCTTTACAAAAATAGTTGTTATTAGTTAGTGCATAGATTCATTGAATTTATGTTTCATGTCAATTTTTTTAATTATTTTATACTAATCATTTTGATTTTTAAAATAATATTTATGATTAATTAATAACATTAATTCAATCATGTATTATAGGTGATATTAGTTGGTGGAACCGATACAACATCAATTACGATAGAATGGGCCTTATCAAATTTACTGAACCATCGTGATGTATTGATCAATGTCAAAACTGAGATTGATACTCAAGTCGGTCAAAATCGCTTGCTTGATGAATCAGATATTCCAAATCTACAATACCTCCAAAATGTTATATTTGAGACGCTTCGTTTATATCCGACAGCTCCTCTTTTAGTACCCCACATGTCATCTAGTCATTGTGTCATTAATGGTTATGACATGCCACCAAATACAATATTGATAACAAATGCATGGGCTATACACAGAGATCCAGAAATTTGGGAAGAACCATCAAGATTTAATCCAGATAGATTCATAAATAATAAAGTAGATGTTCATAAATTAATTATGCCATTTGGGTTAGGGAGGAGAACTTGTCCAGGTGCAGGATTGGCTCAACGGATGGTGTGCTTAATATTAGGCTCACTGATTCAATGTTTTGAATGGGAGAGAGTTAGTGGGGACGAGATCAACATGGAAGGAGAAGAAGGGCTGGCCATGTCGAAACTAAAGCCATTAGAAGCCTTGTGTAAAGCCCGTCCTATTGTAAATGAATTTATGGGAGATGTTGATTAATCACATGAATTCAACTAATTGAATGTTAATAGCTAAAAACATTAGTGAAATAAATTAAAATTTTTTATGTATGATAAACTTATGAAAGCATATTATTATAAGATGAATATATGTATTTTGTTTCTAATTATCAGCCGATATTTAAAGTATTTCGTGCATATATCATATCTAATATACTGATCAAAGTATTAGTGTTTTAATTTTGTAGTTAAGTTGTGCGAGTGGTTAATATACGTGTATATATATATAATTTTTACAAAAACTGATGGTAATAATCAGGTAAAAAGTTATATAATACTGACAATATTAAATTACAGTATCAGTTGTAACTAATAATAACAACTCTTAAAAGTGAAAATATGACTACATATTTTTCATATAAATCTCAAGATGTTACAATTCAACACTGAAGGATAAGATTACTCCTTTGTTTTAAATTGGAAAAAAGAAATTTCAAAGAAGAAAAAAAAAAAAAAGGAAACGCAACTCGAACATCTACTGCTTTATCTTCTCAGTGATTTGGCAGCTTACGAATCATCCAGGTGCGAAATCCACATAAATGATAACAACACAACTAAGACATGGGCTTGCGTGCGCAATGACGCAAATTTTTTTGTTCTTATCATGCCTCGCAGTTGAAGACCACACAGTGACACATCTGGTCGTGTCTACTTCACAATTGGACAGTCGTGAATTTGTCTACAGATTTATAATTTTAATCACGCTTTTTGGGGTAATGATTATATATTTATTTGCAGATTTATATTTATTTTCCGTTAATTGTGATAGACTCATTATTCCCGGTATGCAGCACATAATCAAGCGCTTCATATAAACCTTTTATCGAACACCTTGTCTGCATCGGCGTTGGAAATCAGACATGCAATGGAAATCACCGCTGCACTCTACTCCTCACTAACTCTCATCCTCCTCCTTCCAATTCTCCGGTTCCTTCTCCAATTTTCAGGTTTCAGATCCAACCAAAAGTTTCCTCCAAGCCCGCCACGGCTTCCCTTCGTCGGCCATCTCCACCTCCTGAAGCCACCTATCCACCGCAACTTCCACAAACTCTCCCAAACCTACGGCCCGATCTTCTCCCTCCGCTTCGGCTCTCGCCTCGTTTTTGTAGTCTCATCGCCGTCAATCGCGGAGGAGTGTTTCACTACGAACGACGTCGTTCTCGCCAACCGCCCACGTTTACTCGTCGGGAAGCACATTGGCTACAACTACACCACCATGGCGTCATCACCTTACGGCAGCCATTGGCGCAACTTACGCAAAATCGGCGCTATCGAGATCTTCTCCTCTAACCGTCTCAACATGTTTTCGTCTATTCGAAAGGACGAGGTCAGGCGGCTCATCTGCCGACTCGCCCGTGACTCGCGCCGGGGTTTCGTGAAAGTGAAGTTGAAGCCTCTTTTCTCGGACTTGACTCTCAATAATATGATGAGAATGGTTGCAGGGAAGAGGTATTGCGGCGATGGAGTGAGCAATGAGAAAGAAGCCAATGAGTTTAAGGAGCTTATATCGGCGGTGCTTCAGCTTGCCGGTGCATCGCATCCAGGCGATTTCTTGCCTGTGCTGAAATGGATTGGCCATAATTACGAGAAAAAGGTGAAGAATACTGCGAAAAGAATGGATGGATTCTTGCAAGGTCTGATTGATGAGAAGAGAAGAAACGAAGAAGGAAACTCCATGATCGACCATTTGCTCTCTCTTCAACAGTCAGAACCCGAATACTACAACGACCAAATTATCAAAGGCCTCGCAATGGTTAGTCCTTTCCTTTTCTCTTGCAGCTAATGTACCCGACTTAGCATGATCATTCTTTACTTATCTTATTTAATAACTTACAGATTCTTACTGTTTACAAAATGCTTTCAAAAATTTAAACATATTGTCAAAAAACTTTTAAACATTGACCCAAAAGATTAGACATGTTAAAAAAGTATTTTTGAACTGCACGTGATTTTTTTCTCTCCTTGTTGGACTCAGTCAAAAAGCAGACCTAGTCTTTAGATTGTTGAGAATATGGTTCCTGGTTTGTAGCCTTATCCTAGGACCACGTTTTTATCCTCTATGTTTTGCCATTTATATGTACTGTTGCTCATCAAAATTAATAGCTTTTATCAGAAGAAAAGTTTACGTTCTGCATCTTTTTCTTCCTCTGTTTCTGTCAACTTCAAAAAAAGCAACAAGACAAACCAACCAAGCATTCTTTTATTGTAAATAATGATTTGAATTCGTTTATATGAGTTTACTTTTAGGTGATAATTGTTTCAACTTTATACACACCAGAGGAATCAAACTGGCAAAAAGAAGATGTCAATTTCCATGTAGTGATATCAAATTAACAAACCTAATGTTCAAATCTTGTCTATTTTGCTAGTTGTACTTAAATTATAACTTCATTAAGACACATAAATCCACAGAGTTTGCCTAATATTATATTATTGAAAAGCCTAATGTTTAAAACTTATTTACTGTGCTAGTTTAAATTAAATTAATTTTAGTAAGAAGACATAGCAGACTTCTATTTAATCCACATTGTTTGCCTCATGGGGCTATGCCAATATATAAATAGATTAGAATACTTTTTCTTTAGATTTTTATTATTATTATTTTAATTTTTTTTATCGTAATTTAATCATGTCTCGTAATTCGTATGTTTTGAGTAATAAGTTGAATTACTATATTAAATAACTAATAAGTTAAGTATAAATTGCAGATAATACTAGCAGCTGGAACTGATACGTCGATGGTTACAATAGAGTGGGCATTGTCCAATTTACTTAATCATCCT